AGGCACCGAGCCACTTTTCATTTTTTTTAGAGACTCTGTCATCCATCCAGGCTGGAGTCCAATGGCATGATCATGGTTCATTGCCGCCTCCAACTCCTAGGCTCAAGTGATCCGCCTGCCTTGGCCTCACTAATTCTTCTCCTTCTTTTTTTGTAGACATGGAGTTTTCACTATGTCACCCAGGCTGGTTCTTGAACTCCTGGCTTCAAGTGATCCTCTTGCCTTAGCCTTCCAAAGTGCTGAGATTACAGCCATGCTCCATGATACATGGCTAAAATCTATTTTGCCTGTCAATCTGGGCAGTTCTGGTTACAGACTGGTGGCAACTGAAGAGCTAGTCAGTCAGCAAGTAGGTGGAGAGTTGTGCCCCCTGGGAGAAGAGTCGCTGAAGCTCCTTCCCTGCTGTGGAAGAGGAGGGGAGGCGGGGTAAGTTTCAGGGGGAAACGCTGTAATTTCCTTTTTTACTTTCACAGCAATAGTACAGAATCCAGAATGGATGTCCTCTTCGTAGCTGTCCTTGCTGTGCCACTTATCCTGGGTAAGTTCACTTCTCTCCTTAAGCTTTTGTGCCAGATCCTCTACCATAAATGAGGTGGGAGGGGGGAAAATAAGGAGAAGGTGAGAGGTGTATTTCAGAGGGGAGAGTTATAGAGCTTTCTCATCTGTGCTAAGGTCTGGTGTTGGGGGCACAGCAGAGATCTGGAAGGAATAACCAAGAAAGGGGGAGGAAAGCAGAATCTGTCAAAGAAGAGGAGGCCTACAGAGAATCAAACCCCATACACAGGGAGGTCACAGTAAGACCAAACTCAGTTCTCCATCACTAAAAAGTACAAGATGAGAGGGACTAAAGTGAGGGTGATGGAGAGAGGTAGCTTCGTAGAAGGTGGGACAGTCTGAAACTAGTGAAGAAAGCCAGGGTATCTGGAGTTGTAGGGGGAAATAAGTGTATTAATAAAGACATAGGAGCGGGGTGGCCTTTAGGGTAGTAGAAAACCCGCTGCCTTCAAGGACAGAGTCCCAGGGGTAGCTTGGCTCCTTTCCTCCTTTGTTCTGTCAGTCTGCCAGGTGTGTCTCAGTTTCCTTTTCCTCTAGATGCTTGTGTTGTTTAGCCTGGGGCTAGAGAGAAAGCATTCAAGGAGTTCAGGAAAGTGTTTAGCAGGAGGCCTAAAGTTCTTGATTCAGTCCTATCAAAGCCACCTATTTTTAGTTCTGGAAGGGAAGAAAAACTAACAAGACGAGTCATTTAGTCAAGCTGAGTCTTTTTTTTTTTTTTTTTTTGAGACAGTCTCTCACC